CATACATGCAAACCGCACTTCATACCTTATTGTAAGGAAATGTCATCCAGACTTTCAGGGAGGGCTTTAATCCAATGACTAGAATCTGGGGTGAAAAGACAAAACCATCAGAACCTGATGCTGCACGAATGAGAACACGATTATGACCTGCGGACGACCTTTGGCATCTGCACACCTTAGTGAGAGATGCCATAGCGAGCAGAGAGTAGTGCGTGATGGGATGGTCTCTGAAGTCCGGAGGAGAACGCAAAGGTTCGATACAGCACACCTCCCCTTTAGAACCACTGAAGAGACATCGAGAGTCACATGACCGCATCCCCATCACCCTCCTGAGAACAAACGAGGGGAAAGCAGGGGAACCAATGAGAAAGATGAACATAAAAAATCACCGAATCAGAGTCGAGTTAAAACGGCAACACTTGTTGCTGGTGGGATTACATGTGTTCATTTAAGAGGTAGAAGACCAAAAAGTTCTTTCAGCACCTCGGTTACAAAAAGCATCCTCCCCTCAGCCTGCTCATAGATGTACGTGTGGTATAAGTGTGAAAATGCGGGGTCACCTCCTTCTTCAGTTATCACAAGATCTTTGAAAAACTTGAACTCTGACCTCGAGGTTAAAGTTACTAACTCATCTGAGATCTTTAGTAGATGCACCTATGCTATCAATTAGAAAATCCTCATTTCCAGCTATGCCAACAATACTCCGTCAGCTTTTCAGTGCTGAGGGGTAAAAACTGCTCAGGAACATAAAACCTGATGGTTGAAAATAACATTTCTGTAACATTTAAAGCCGAGTCGTTCACCTGAAAGCCAGCTCAAAAACAGATCCTCCACTGTCATTGCACACGGCAATAGTTGGGTCATCTGTGAACTGCAATAACAAGAAAGGCAAAAGAAGAACTCAGGACAGAAGTTAGACAGAAATCATCAGGGAGGAAACATTTGACATCTCTGAGCCGCAGGTAGAAAAATACAACCTTTGTTACAAATGTTTCCTTAGTAATAGTAGTGGAGGGGTGACGTTTGGTGACAACAACAAAACAAAGCTGACTTTGCAAGTGTGTGTGTGTGCATGGACCTTCACATGCAGAATGGCTGTCCCAGGAGGGTGGGCATCAGTGATGGTCCTCAGAAGCTTCCCATTGGCTAGATCCCACATTGTAATCTGATCGTGCAGACGGAGAGACGACACGAGGAAGGTGGTCATGAGCTCAAGTGAAAGCTGTGAACACATTCTGCAGTGCATTCCTGTCATATCAGCAACGCTGGTGCTAATTTTATTTTTGCTACGACCTTAATATGTTTCTGAAATGGAGAATGAAGCAATGATTTAAAAGGCTGGAAATGAAACAAAGATGAACAAATCAATCATTTAATGATCGTTCTGAAAAAACTAGGCTAACACACGAAAATGCATTCGATTAATAGTAGAACGGACCTTATCCTGACAAAACAGTGTGCAAGTTTCACTCACACAGAGGATGACATGTGATCAACCTCACATTATGAGCGCCTGCTACAGTCCTAAATAATCCGTATAGTTAAAATGTGCAAATCTTTGCAAAGTAAAGATTTATTTAGGAAAATGCATTAACAGAAGGTTTAATGAAATGTGTCTGTAGCCCAACACAGGGCCACATAGCGCTGGTATGGCTGGTGGAAGCAGATATTGGTAGGCTGTGTTACTTCACTATTAACTGCTTGACAAGCCACTCAACATTTGCAAAGCAGTAATGTTAGTGACGTCTTTTCTTTGTGTTACAATATTTTTGTATCATATTTCCCCATTTCTGCATCAGTGTATTTTGATTCTGCCAATTATGGTATCCAACCTGCACATTAAAAGACAACAAGTAATAAACAATTACAAATACACATGAACCACACTAACAAATATAACCTGTCCAAAACAGGGATTCTTGTTCCTTTGATCCTTGTATTGGTGTTATTTTAAATTCAAATAAAATGTTAAAAAACGTGGTGTCTAACCCGATACTAGTTCATGCAGTTATTACGTCTAGTTTGGACTACTGTAATCAGGACCCATACAGACCTTATGGGACCGTATCACCCCAGTCCAGCACTTTGCGCTCAGACTGCTGGTTTACTTGTGGTTCCTAGAATATTTAAACAGGAGGTAGAGCCTTCAGTTTCCAGTCTCCTCCCAGTGGGAACAGCTCCCAGTTTGGATTCGGGAGAAGACACCCTCTTTGTTGTGGAGGGAGGAGCATCCATCATAATCAACTATAACTTCACAAACAGTGTGTTTGGATTTCCCAAGGAGGATGTCGAACAGAATGCAGTAATTTGCAAAATGTGCCGTAAAACTACTGCTAAAGACAGCAGTGCAGTGAACTGATCCTATTAGCTGAAAATGTTTTAAAGTGTGCACGTCAGCGTCCCCCCACACACTAAAGAAAACGTTAAACCAGCTGTGACACCTGTGACTGTTCTTCAGGCGTTTTCTAGACTTTTCTTTCTGTAATTTGAGGTCATCAATATTTTACAATTTTCATATGTTATAATCACAAAGGAGCACGTTTTTAATTTGAATCGGATTATTTTGTCTTGTGAATTTGCCACGATCAGGACGAAGCGCACGGATTCTAATTATTCATCATCTGTTCACTTATTTTAACATTTTATTGGGATTATAAAGTTCAAAAGATCACCAGCACTGACACACTGTTGGGTTAGTCATCATCACCCACACGCTGGCTGACCAGCCATCTAACCTTTGGTCAGAAAAGTGTCAGGAGGTAATGGTACTTCATTTAGAAAAGTGTGAGTTTTCATCTTTGGCATCATCCTGTCAGCATGGTGAATTTCAGTGTTTCCCCATGAAGCATGAAAATGCTGTAACTCACCATGAAACAGGAAGCTGTTGTTCCTAGATCAGGATTCTTAAGTGAAGGCTTTCACTGTGTTAATGAGTTTGCTACAGACTGTGGTAGCAGCTAGCTCCATATTTACGTCTATCTGCATGTGAACCAGATGTTTGTGAACAAGACATTAGTGTTAATGAGCTGTTAGCTGTTAGCATTAACTCATATGACCTTCCTGGGCAGCGTCCTACTCTACAAATCAGACTTCAGATACACTGACAGTGGGGACACACACACTGTTGCATGTGTATGTGAGTGGAACAACCTGGCGTACAGGAAGGACATCACTCACTTTATCATCTGATGTGAACTCAACCACCTACACATCCACACTAGTGAGAACTCCCATCACAGTGAACATGCACGGTTTTGGCACTGATGTCGTGGACAAGTACAAATTCCTGGATGTTCACCTTCACAATAAACCGGACTGGTCAGAAAACACTCCAGATCTGTACGAGAAAGGACAACGTCAGCTCCTGTCTTCCTTCTCTCACTCCAACCAGTCGCAGCAGATGGCCCCGCCCCCCTGAGCCGGGGGTTTCTTCCTGTTAAAAGGGAGTTTTTCCTTCCCACTGTGGCCAAAGTGCTTGCTCACAGGGGGTCACATGATTGTTGGGTTTTTCTCTGTATGTGTTATTGTAGGGTCTACTGTGAAGCGCCTTGAGGCCACTGTTGTTGTGTATAAATAAAATTGAACTGAAGCTCTGCTGGGCAGGCTGAGGTGTGCGGGACTTTTTCAGTGACGCTCCTGCAGTCTTTTACCTTCTAACACCTTTGTACAGGTGACAACTCCCCTGGTGGGAAGGTCATCCCTTCATCCCAACAGCAGTCACACTGTAAAATACAGATAACTGCTGAAATATATGTACATCATCACTCCCACTGCACTTCATGTGCACATAAAAAATATCGAGTTCTAGTTACTCTTGGAAATCTTTTTTTGCCCAAATTCAATTTTTCTTCCTCACTGTTGTGCTGCTATAGTCCCCACGGTGGGATTCATAAAGTCTATTTATATCTGTCTATGCATCTCTCTATATATGTACTTATCCAGCCATCGTTCAAATTTGGCAGCTTAAGGTAATGTTTTTAAAAACAATAAAAAAGACTCTTAAAGTCTGTCCTAAACCAAAAAGGAGGGCAGCTGTTTTGAATTATTTTGGCAGCAGTTTTGTTGTAGTTAATCAAATTTCTCCCAGAGATTTCATCTGACCACCATGAGCATTGGTGAGTTCAACCTAATGACCCTGGCGATGCTAAATTGCGAAGCATGTGAGTTTGTTTTTTTTAACTGAAGGACACGTCTGTGATGTCAAATTTGGATTATTCACTACAGGACATTAAATTGTTAAAAACATCCTAAACCTTACAACTGATAAAATCATCTGTTTCTATATGAAATGTTCAGTGTTAATATCACATACAGGAACACATCATTAGTGAGTGACCTCATACACCACTCACTGGCCACGGGTAGTAACAACAGTTAGAAATCATCCACCCGACTACAGCAAACACCTCCACAGTGTCAAGTCACGACATGCACTGAGGTGAAAGGGCCCTATGATTTAACTGTTATTATATCATCATTACTATTTGGCAGCTTTAACAAAATAAACTGTAAATTAGTGGCAAATAAAGTCTATTTATCTTGTCCTAGTACCTGTCCTTTGGCAAACCCGCAGAGAAGTCGTGAGCAGTCATGGTTGATGCTCAGGGCAGAGACGGCGCCAAACTCTGCTCCAGTCGTCTTGGTACCCAGACAGAGCCGCAAGGCCTGGTTGGTATCTGGAGAGGAAGAGGTCGTTTAGCTGACAGAGCAGGAGAAAAACAGGCAAAAGACACACTGAAAGTTGTCCCAGTCCTCAGTTTTACGAGTGCAATACCAGAATTAAAAAGCACATAATTTAAACATAAAAACAAAACTGACACTAAATGAAGAGCCATAAAAGTAATCAAAGTACTGTAAATAAAAATAAACAAATGAAACCAAATAACATGCCAAACCAAAATGCACACAAAGAGTGATGTTTCAGGCTGAACACCAGACGAACAACATTCAGGAGGATCTGACAGACGTGGTCATACCTTTTCCTGCTCAGGCATCATAATGTCAGCAACACAGAGAGACACTGATCAGCCCTGCTGCAAGTTAAATACTGAGCAAATTCCAGTTAAACCACATCACAGTTAGAACATCATCCCTGAAGCCTCTGTTCCTGCGTGTGTGTTTGTAAATTCGCTTATTAGCAAGTGTTGTGTGTCTCTGAAATAACAGTGAAGTTTGCCTGGCAGAATGCTGTTACTGAAGTTACACATCTGTCATGTTTAAAAGGGACTTCTGCAACATTTTATAAAGTAGAACCAAAGCAATGATGCTAAGACGAAATAAAGACAGAAATGCATGACTTCATCTCTTTTAGGGAAATCAAACCAGCTTAAAAGCTCAGTGGTGTTTATGTGCGGCAGTGTGCGTAACACACGCTGTAAAGCAGTACCATCCTGAAGTCCCACCTTGTACAAACATTCGATAACCACCTTAAAGGTCTAACCACTGTTAGATACGGCAGAGAAACAGAGGGGTGGGACGCTCTGAACATGAGATAAGGAGTCAGGTGGTACGTTGTGATTACCTGAGTCAATATAACCTGGTGTGATAACAGCTAATGCACAGTGGGACTCGTTCATACCCGGACTAACAATCCGTTTGCTCAAACTGTTTTTGTATTTTTCAGTGATACAAAGGTAAGTGTTCCACTATGGTTCAAACTTACCTTTACTGATGTGAGCTAATGATGCTGTTTGTGGCTTCATTTCCAGGTAATATCTGGCTTTCAATACCAGATTTTCTGCACCACATTTATTCATTGATTAGTCTTATTTTGCCAACTACTTCATCTGAGTGTCATTTTATAGTCTGGATATTTGGCACAGTCAAAGTTTGAGTCGACCGTCTGACTGGTTAGATCCTTATTTGGAACTTAGGTTGCTAAAATAAAACATGCATACATTAATATAAGCATGCTTTATGTAATACAAATTAAAGGTGCTAAGTAAATGTAAACTAACAATGACAGCTACATATAAAAGATACATTTGAATAATTACTTAATCCATCAACATGTCTAATGGGCCCCAGCCCAGCAAGACTGTCTTATATTATCAAGACTTTCATATTAAACGTCATCAATTCATCTCTCTTAATTCTTGTTCCACCATTGGCCCACTTAGTCAACTGTCATTGTGAATTCAGATGATAACTTGTGATTTCACAGAAAACAGGTCTGCATCTTCTATTTCCAGGCCTCACTCGTGTAATTCTAGCCACTGTCACCACATCATTAAGCAAAACACAGCTCACTACGTTTGACGACTGTGTCTTCCCTTTAAAAATGGTGATATAAGTGAAAGGCTATGTTCTGATTCACAGCCTCCTCCTGCCATCACATCAACACGATGCCTCATCGCAGCTGTTCTGTTGAGATTAACAACAACTCCGGCTACTACACTCTGGCCAATCCAAGGTGCGGTGTTACTTCTGTACTTTCCATCTGATGCAAGTTTCAAGAATGGGTTTAATGTAACATAAATCATCTTTTGCTGCCAATACAAACAGTCTAAAATGCTCAAATCTACTCAGTATGCACATGGCAATACTGCAGACACTTGTGATGTTCTCAATTTAGTAAGTAAGTAAAATTTATTTAGATAGCGCTTTTCACAGGTAAAAAAAATCAAAGTGCTTTACAACACAGGAAATGGCAATATAAAACAATATGACAGCAAATCAATGATGTCATTATGGTCCAGTTCTCTATGTAATGTTTGAGTTTTAGGGGAATTTGCAAATATTGAGAGAAAGAACCAGAAGGCTGTCGGTCATGAGTTTTACAAACTGGCTGCGATGGTCACTGGTGCAGGGACGACCTCATTGGCTGTTGGTTTCAGCACGCCATGTGAGGAACACAGTCATGCTGTTGAGGATGCAGCAGAGAAGTTGTCGCCTTTATTTAGACATGAATTCTCCAGATGTGCTGCTCCAGAACAAAAAAGACGCTGTTGGTCATTTCTGCCATATCGTTACAGTAAAGATGCAACTGCTAGTTAGCCATTAGCATGCAGAAATCCTGTCAGCCCTCATGGTGAACCATGAGACGGTTCTTTGAGTTCATGTGCTGTCGAGCCAAGAAAAAGTAGTCAAGATGATGATGTGACCCAAGCCACGATGTATAAGACGGCTGCAGAATGAAACCCACACACCTAAAGCACAGTGGTGTGGTGGTTAGCGACATTGCCTAACATCGGAAAGGTCCTGGGTTTGAATCCATCAGCTTTCTGGGGCCATTCTGTGTGCAGTCTGCATGGGTTTTCTGGCTTCCTCCCACAGTCCAAAACCGTGCAAATGAAGTTAACTGGTGACTCTAAAGTGGCTGTAGGTGCTAATGGTTCTCTGTCTCTTTATGCTAGCATGAGATAGGTTGGGGACATGTCCTGTTCAGGGTGTACTCTGTCTCTTGTCTTATGAAAGCCTGAATAAGCTCCAGCCCAACCATGATGGATGACCACGTCAATAATTATAGTTGGTTATAATCTTTTTAAACCTTTGGGTTTATCATTGTTGAAAACTTATTTACAAGCACAAATATAATAAAACTGTGGCAAACTTTGCAAAATCCAACACAGCCAGTGCACATCTGAGCAAATGGAAAGAGGAAAAGTGTTTGTTTTGCAAATTCTTACCAAAGTAAAATCCTAAAATGAATGAATCCATTACTTGCATCAGAAGTTCTTCAATGATCTGCATAAGGGTGGATAGAAAATAATGATCCAGCACATTTTTATGGACACTTGTGTAGCTTGCCTGTAGCTTCATGTGGGAGGTGAAAAACAGCAGCTCAATGTGTCACTTTTGAGGTGGATTAAATGCACATTACTCCTGATGATGGTAAACAGCACACTATTGTGCAAAGGTGTCAAACATCCGGCCCGTGAGATCATTTCATTGGTCAGTTATTAACGGCCTGTCGGTATGTGGAAATCAAATCATCAGCCCTACTGAGAATCCATGTGGGCAGGGCTGGGACTATTTTAATGGGCACACCATGCAGGCATTCACATGCAAAGAGCATTATGTGACAGCACGTATGCCATAAACATGCAGAACATGTTTACTTTTCTACAAAAACATGCAGAAAAACAGTTAAATATGAAATTTCTTTACACTGACAGAAAGGAGCGTCTCACCCATTACTGATCAAAATGGGCTGTATGTGAGTCTGACACATGTGCTCTAGATAGTCCAAAAACATGAATCCACTGCAGCAAAAACACCATCAATCCTCTACAAGCACAGCAAAGACAGCACACCTACACAATCATTATGGGCAGAATCACTAACGCAAAGGTAGGAAGAAGAAATCCCACAGTGACGTTTAAGCAGAACGTATGCTAACCCCAACCAAGCAGTCCAAGAGTATGTTTGTGTGTAACAAAGCTGATCTCTCATCTTTAGCCCTGCTGCTTCCTGTTTTGCACTTTTATTCAATTTATTAAAATGAAACTCCTCCATACATTCGCCCTATAAGGATAAGGGTTGGAGCACGTATGTGGGTATAAGTTTATTGTTACTTTTGTTGTGTAACTTCAATAATGCGAATGAGAAACCAAAAGCGTCACAGCCCTGTTGGGTTGTTCAGCTCTTACAATACTGTTGTGCATGCAATGTGTCCTATTGACTGCATTATTGTTACATAGTTTAGACAAACAGTGTTTACTTATTGGAAAGTATAACCAGAAGAACTGGTCAAAGTGTTTCTGTTAGACCCATCTAACACACTGTGTCTCCATGCTTAGGGCTTTCAGTGAGAGTGGCAAATGCGAGGTCCCTTTGCCACCCATGGTAGGTCCCTGCTCTGAAGCCAGTGCACTGTTCAACAAAGTCACTGGCAGTGCAACTGGAGCAGTTGGAGTCTTCACCTATGACCTTGTCAACCCTGACATGAACGACTATAGCCACATCATGGCTGTCATGTTCTCCGTGCCGTATGATCGAAGCCTCTACTCCAACTGGTTTGCCGTGGGGATCTTTGACAAAGGAACCGACTGTGACTATAATCTTTATGACATCATGTATAATGGGAGTGAAAATAGTTTCGTAAGAGCCAAGGCTGACGGGTCCTGCATTTCTTATGAAGGTGACTACGTTATTGTCAGTGCCTCCATGTCTGATTCAGGTGAAGCAGTCCTGAGGGTGGATGTCAATGACACAGGGATGTACTAACACAACAGACGCAAGATGTTACACAAGTAAAACAATCACTGGCATCCCACTACGTATCTGCAAGGGTCAATCAACTGGTAAAACTGGTCACTTGCTAAAGTGCTGATTTCAGTGTAAACGAGTGCATGCCGTTGTATACTCAAGAGTGCTTTCTCTAGACTGATTCATGAAAGATTTGTATGTATCAAAAACAGGTTTTCTTTGTAACCAGTGTATAACGTAACAATAAATCTAAACCTTTACCTGATTTAAATTTGTCCCTCTTCTGTTCAACATCACCTCCGGATTCTGCAGAAGTATTTCTCTGTTTATTATCTCAGTCTTTAGGTCCATTCTGTCGAACGGTGGGCCTCAAATATACACAAGATCAAATTCCCTTTCAAACCGACACTAGGACCACTAATGGTGATGGAAGGACCTCGAGCTATTCTGAACACTTTCAGTGCTAAAGAGTCAACTTGGAGTCAACTGAAACGCCAGGCTGTTTTGAACATTTAAAAACACCCAAACTGTTCTCCAGGGTGAGAATGTCAAAGGGCGCTGTAGCATCCTGAGATGATTCAGCAGAAATGAACAAAAATGTTTGGTGCGTGCCAGGACGGCAGCAGCACAGAGGACACTGACAAAGTGTTGCCTCCTTCCTGATTCCCTGTGTTTTTGTATGTTCGTTACACTTAACTGTTTCAGATCAAACAAATTTGAATATTAGACAAAGATAACACAAGTAAACACAAAACGCAGATTCTAAATGAAGGTGTTTTTCTTATTAAGGAGAAAAACCCAAACATACCTGTGTGAAGCACTGATTGCCCCTGAACCTAATAACTGATTGGGTCACCTTTAACAGCAACGACTGTAATCGAGCCTTTGTGATGACTGGCAGTGAGTCTTTTACAGCACTTTTTGGCCCACTCATCTCTGCAAACTGTTTTACTACAGCCACATTCGGTGGGTTTTCAAGCATGAACCGCCTTTAAGGTCATGCCGCAGCATCTCAATCGGGTTCAGGTCAGGACTTTGTCTGGGCCAACCCAAAGTCTTCATGTTGGTTTGCTTTACCCACTCAGAGGTGGACTGGCTGCTGTGTATTGGACCTTTGTCCTGCTGCTGAGCCCAAGGGCACAATGAATGAAATACGTAAGAGCGATACAGTGATAAATGAATAGTTATCCTTAAGAACTATTTTCCTTTTTTTCACCGTTTCTCTTATCAATTTTGCACAATTGTGTCTAATTTACTTCATTTGTATTTGTCAGATCTGGTTTTTGCTCACCGGTGCCACACATGTATGTTCTATCTTTTATGTGTTTTCTGTATTTGCTTTCCTTTACATCTTTACCTTTGTGTGTTATTGAGTAAATAAGACTTGTAGACTCAGCACTTCTACTACAAGTATAAATAAAAAAATTAAAAGAAAAGAAAGGCACAGCACACATAAAACAAACAAAACAAGACGAGAAAGAAAATAAAAATAGCAAATAAAATAAAGAACAAGTCAACGCCAAGTATCATTTTCTAAATTATTCCCTTCATAATGTCTCAGAAGCTCAGCTAAAGGCGACCACGTTTCTGCTGAGAAGGTGATTGGCTGCAGACTCCCATCTTTGCAGGACCTGTACACCTCCAGGACATTGCGGCGTGCAGCTCGGATCTCAGCTGACCCTTCTCACCCTGGACACAGTCTGTTTGACCTGCTCCCCTCAGGCAGGAGGCTCCGGTCCATTCGCACCAGAACCTCTCGCCATAAGAACAGTTTCTTCCCCTCTGCTGTTGGACACATGAACAATAACCGTACGACTGTTCCCACCCCTAACACATGACCCTACGCTGTGTCACTGCATCATTTCATGTTTTGGCACTGATCACCACCTGCACTCATGTATATATCTTTCAATGTAGCACTCATAATTCTTATTCTCATGTATATATCTCATGTATATCTCATGCACATATCTTTCCACGTAGCACTTTTAATTCTTATTCTTTTATTTTTCCATGTCTATTTAAGTGCTATTTATGACACTATGTTTGCACTGAAGCACCGCAGCAATTTCCTAATGTTGTAAACCTGCTCAACATTTGGCAATAAACCCCTTTCTGATTCTGATTCTGATTCTGATTAAGATCTGCTCCCTCTCCTCTGACAATAAGTAAGTGTGTCCAATCCAGCACATGATGATGCCTCCTGCACCCACCTATCACTTTAGCGTACATCTATTTTCTTCCAACACAAAGATATTCACCGCCTGGCCTGCAGGAGGCCAAAGTCGATCCATTTTAGCTGTGTGGAGCTAAAACCACAGTTCTCTGGATATATAACCAGCTCGTGGCAGTTATCTGACTGTGTGGTTGGACCAGTCAGTCCAGTAAGGAATATTAAACAGTGTTAAACCTGTTCTTTTTAAATGGCAAACACCATCACAAGTAAATGGACTGGTTCTTATACAGCACTTTTCATCCATTTACACAAAGTTGATTACACTGGAGAGCAACTCGGGCTTCAGTATCTTGTTAGCATACATTAGCATGCTAACTGGAGCAGCCAGGGATCAAATCACCAACTTCCCAATTAGTAGATGATGTCTCTACGTCCTGAGCTACAGCCAATCCTACAGTAGTTGAAAAACGTGCTGAAACCTCTGTACTGTGGCTTTCCAAACACACATATCCTAATGCTAGAGTACAACTAAGGCGGTTAATATGCTGAAACCCGTGGACCTATCATCTGAAATGTACAGGCATGAAAATGGAAGTGCAGAGAGCTTCTAGCAGTCTACAAAACACAATGTAGTTACATTGTCCTGTAACTGTTGTTGCAATGATACTTACTGTGAAATGCACTTCTAATAATTGTGATCATGTTTCCTGATAACAAATGGTTACTTTGTGATGAAATAAATCAAATTCAATCCCATTTTTAGAAGCACAAAGACGGTCTTTATTCAAGCAAGTCAGGAGGTCAGTTGTGATGTACACAGGAAAACATCAGGACTTTGTGCAGCACACATTCTGCTTTTAAAATTTCATACAGTTCATTTCCCATTTGTAATGTGACGCTGAAGCCGTAGCAAATTTGCCTGTATGCTTTATTACTGCATCGCTACATTAATAAACGAATGCAAACGAACTGTAACTGATTAAAGACTGTGGAGCCACATATTCATCTTTACTGTAACAAACATTTTAGATTCCACAGATCTGTTTGACCAGTGTAAAGACACATTCATCGATGCAAAGGCAGCGCGTGCACTTTCATCACGTCATCAGCATCTTCATGGCTAAATGATCCAACCTGGATTGACACATTCCACATGTACTCAAACTGATGCCAGTTTTTGAGCGACCTCACAGTTGCCCTGCTCCAAGCTGCTTCTTTACACTCGTGAAATGAGCTATCGCCCCCTTAGCGCAGAACAGTCCAACATGGTCCTACATGATGGCCTCTCTGTCTGCCAGTGCCACATAAAACGCTACCGTTAGCTGTGATGTGACAGTCACTGAGTATCCTTCATCTGCGTCTCAACAACACCAACGCTGAACGTAACATGCTGTAGTTGGCTAAACCACTGTTGTGTATCTTCAATACAAACATCTGCAGTCAAACCTAGATTCCTGTCAATCAGTAAGTCAAGTGTTTGGGGTTTGCTTCTATTTATGGGCTTGTTTCTGGTTCATTGGTGATAAAGTGATACAGTTATTCTCAAAGGGAAATATTGTTGACAGTGTAAATGTAAATAGACAGTATTACAGTTCAGACTTACCAAAGACCAAAGCCAGACCATGAGACGTTCCCACAGCAATGACACCCGACACTGTCTGAAGACACGGGGACGTACAGCTCAGAACAGACTAAACATGGAAGCGTTTTCAGATAGACAAGTACAAATGACAAAACACATCAAGGCTCCAAGTGTGACTGCAGCTGACGGCTGTCATTACTTGTCAGGTTCTGCTATGTGCTGATCCACGTCTGTAGTATGTAAAATATTTTTAATTATTGATGCAGGTGTACATATTCAGTCACTACACACTCTTTGTGTTGAGATGAACTACTTAGTAAATACTCACTATAGCTGTTGGAAGTCCAGCGTCCACTTTGTCCTGAGTGAAGACACAAAATGTTTTAGTTAAGAGTAGGGATGGGTATCGAAACCCGGTTCTTGTTGAGAACCGGTTCCCACTGTTTCAGTTCCTTGGAAGTGTTTGTCATTTTTGCAAACGATTCCCTTATCGATTCCAGTCGCCCCGAATGACGTCACCACGTTGCAGAGCGTCATTTACCTGGCAGGAAACACGGCGGCTCAAACGCTCAAAAGTTTGGTTATACTTTACGAGAACGGATGACAACAGGGCAACTTGCAGTACTTGCAAAGTAGATGTTTCATTTAAGGGAGGAAACACTACGAATATTCAAAAGCATTTGCTCACAAAACACACGATGACCTTAAATGAATGTCGTGTTTTTAATTCCGCTCGACTCGTGAATCTCAACCCAGCAGCAGCGGTAACGTTTGCACGTCCTCTCCCGTTAATGCGGCAGGTAAATAATCAACTAACAGTGCATATTATGTTAGCGCGATCTGCCTTATTACAAACCTGCCATTACTGTGCATTTAGTGACCATGATGAGACAGAGCCTGGCTCAGATGCTGGCAGTTCTCGCTGCAGTCTGCCGGTAGCGTCTCCTTTCAGGCAGGATAGACGAATGTCACCGAGCAGAGACTCAGTTTGTGGTCAAAGGTTTGCACCCGTTTGCCACAGCAGATGATTTTCAGTAAGTAAATGTGTTTAATTGTAGGCAGGGACATTACTGGATATTCTTGTGTAATTGCTACAGAAGAATATTTATTTTATTATTTTACATTTACAATTTTTTCCTGGGGGCCCTGTGACACCCCATTGAAGAGCCGTAGGCTGGATCTCTTAAGATGTCACTGTTGGGTTTGTAAGGCCATGTTACTCCTAAATGTCTGTCTTGTTCAAAGAGAAGATATAAAACAAAGTTCTAAGCTAATCGATTTGTGAAAATCTTATCAATACCCATCCCTAGTTAAGAATGAGGAACGTTTGAAATTCAGATTTTGATTCTGCAGCTGTGTTATTCATTTTCTGTGCTAAACTCTTTCAGATTGCTCGTAGAGATAAAAACCCACTCGAGTATTATAAAGCTGGGTAAGAAGTCTTAGGCTACGTTCACACTGCAGGCGAAAGCGCATCAAATCCGATTTTTTTGACCCTATGCGACCC